TGTAATCAAAATTAAATGGTTTACATGATCAAGTCCCTTGAAGGCTTCATGAATCTTCTCAGTACTCAACCTCATGCGAGGTCTAGCGTCAGAAGCATCAGGAGTTAAAAGAGAGGCGTGCTCGTAAAACCAAAGCTGCGGATGTTTTACACCATCAACATGTATGCAAAAGTCAATACATCAAACAAAAAAATCATAAGAGTGATGTTTCAATGTAAATAACAAATACTTACTGTTAGAAGAAATACAAATTTTTAAATATAGTCAATTGACTTATTCTGCCTTAATTTCATTGAGGCGATTCTCACTTGATCGATGATCATATCACATATGGCAGCAGACCAATTAAAGAACGGAAAAGCTTGTACATTTACAGCAAAAGAAGATAGCTCTGCAGGCACATGAAAATTGCTTGAAGGAAAAAATAAGTTAGTAAGAATTTCAAGTATAACTGCTCAAAAGGTGGGGTGAAGGCTCCTTCTACAAAAAAGTTTGTCAGTTGGTTCTTTATTTGTCTGACATCCACATTTGATAGGGGTTCTTTTTTTTCATGAAACACTCTCCTCTGTTCGGCATCCCTATCAACAGAGCCACGTGGTCAGCATGTAACTTAACCTCCTTTCCACCCATTTTGAAGACACCCTCTCATTATCCATACATCTCAAAATATGTAAAGTCATGACATTGTCCTGGGGTTATGGGGGCATGTCAAAGAAGTTGAACACCCTAATTTTCTTTAAATTATTAATGGTCTCCTCTGAAATAAGATCTCGAATTGCATCCAAAACACCTCTCACTGCAGATGGACGACATTTACAGTTGAAAGTCTTTGCACTCATGATCCCGCAAATTAAAGAAATAATGACACAGTATTAGAATAACAATCACAAGAAGGGAATAATACATGAGTAACACACCGACATAACACAATAATAATCCTACCTAGGAGCATGGATAATACAAAAGCATAACTAATTACACACTTGTAACACAGGAGTAGCACATGAAACACACTTAATTAATAATACCCCTAAACACATTAATAATACATGAATAACACGCCAATAACACACGATTAACACACCAGTAACACAGTAAAAACAGAGTAAAGTAATACACGAATAATAGAAGAACAATGCAAGAATAACACATCAAACATATGACATTGATTAATAATAACCCTAAACCCATCAATAATACGCTAATAACACGGAAATAACGCATGAGTAACACACCAGTAACACAGTTAATACACAGTAGAATAACACAGTAGAATAACACGAATAATACACGAATAATACAAGAATAACACTAAACCTATGTCATTAATTAACAATCATCCTAAACAGAAGCATATCACATCAATATTAAATGAATAACACGGTAATAACGCATCAGTAACACAACAGTAACACAGTTAAACCACAAGAAAAAAATAGATGAATAAAACACAAATAATACAATAATAACACATCTAAACTATGTCATGGAGATATCTGTGAGTTCAACGAATTTGGTTTTATGCAGTTATTGAGTAGGGTTTTTTTTGTGCTAATGATTCAAATCCATGATGTGTTATTCATGTGGTATTGTCGTGTTATTGTTGTATTTTTTATGTATTACTGGTATATTACTAATGTGTGATGCTATTGATGTGGTATTGTTGTGTTATTGTTGTGTTATTGTTGTGTTACAGATGTGTTACTCGTATTTGCCTACTCTGGTTTAGGTGCATACCGTGATTTTAACGAAAGAGTGGACGCCATGACCTTCGCTTCCGCCGGAGGATGCACTTTGCCGGAGGGTTTCGTCGGAGGATGTTTTGCGCCGGAGGTTTTCGCCGAGGAAGAGTAAGCCCTAAACTCTCGTAATAGTGTGTAGAAAATAAAAATGTGATTCGGAGAAAGTAAAAAGCAAGACTGATTCGGGTTTATTATCTGGCCGGGTCGGAAAACAATTAAAATAAATATTTATTTTAATTTTATTTCGTTTAAAAGGTGGGGCCGGAGTTTACAGCTGGCAACATCTTATTGGATACGCACCTACCTTAAGGGGCTTAGTACTATGGAATAATTCTTCCTCCCTACTATCCATTCCACAAAGAAGAAAACTTTTGGCTTCTGCTTGCTGATCCAGTGACAAATGAAGTCTGGGTTTCTCAGAAGGTGAACTTCATGGATAAAGGCTACAGCCATTACTGCAGCTTCTAAGGCTATTCAGGAAACAAAGGAGGCTTTGGGTGCAAGTGTTAAGGATGTGAATGCTGCTGTGATGAGAGCTGTTTGAGAAGGTGAGGAGTGGATCAAGGTTAGTGATGGGCAAGTTCCAGGCCCTAGCTGAAGGGACATATAACCTATGCTCCTGCTTGTGTGATGCTTGGATTGGATGCAACACAAAGACGAACTTGAAGTTCAAGGTCGTAAAACGGAGTCAAACCGGGACGAGAGGCCATGTGGTCGAGGATCGCCTGTGGAGGATGGTGTTGAGGAAGAAGCGAAGGAGGAAGAGGGGTATGATGATTATGAGAGTGAGTACAGTGATGATGAGGATGATGATAAAGAACAAACTGTAAAGCTGTAAATGGTGTCTTGAATGTTAAAGGTCATACTAGCGGTGAATCTTCAGGTTCTGATGAAGAATAAACCTGCCTCTTCTTTCTTTGAATTAGTTATGGTTATGAGATTTTCAATATTTCTAAGTTGGAGCTGATGATAATCTGTTTTTCACACTCATCAGGAAAAAAAAGAAAATAAAAAATTAATTGATCAGTGTGTGATGTGATGATAGAAGGGTTGTTGTATATGATTTACAGGAAACCAATTGTGGCAATCTTCTCATCTGATACGTTGGTTCAGCAAGTATTTGCCACAATTGGTTTCCAGTAAGTATTTGTATATGATTTTCAAATACTTGCTGAACCAATTGTGGCATATATGTGATATGAAAATCATATACAAATACTTACTGGAAACCAATTGTGGCAATCTTCTCATCTGATACGTTGGTTCAGCAAGTATTTGCTTATATGCTAATGTTTAGTTCTATATAAATATTTGCATCAAATACTTAATAATATACAATAATGGAACACGTGTGATTCTATCACCTAAAAGTTTCAGCTATCATCATTTTAATATCTTAACTTCGAAAGTAGTTAGCCAAAATTATGGGTGTAAACAAGCCGAACACGAATGAGCTCAGACCTAACTCATGTTCGACTAGTTTATATTTCAAACACAAAGTGTGTTCATCTTCGGCTCGTTTGCTTAGCAAGTTGAACACGAGTTGTTCACGAACAAAGAGTCATTTTAATAACCCTAATCTCACAAAGGCAAGATTTAAAAATAATTGTTTATATTAAAAAATTTAAATCAAGTTTAATATATATATTTTTAATAATAATTTTAATTAATTATAAATCTTTATAGTCTTGTATTCCATTATTTTTTTTTAATACTATATATATATA